GGATCGTGTATAATAATTATAGTATGAAGGCTTTATTGAACTTCATTTGAGTTGTATTTATCAATCATCAGGGCATCAAAAAATAATAATCGCCAAACGTCTTGTCGAAAGATAGCTATCTCGCATGATTGTTTTGAACTAAATGGAAGCCAAGAGCTGCTCTCGTTTCACACTGTGTTAGGCTATGTACCACATGCTACTTCAACGCGTGCCATGCCATTCTAACGGAATTGTTACCCATTTAACGTATGCTAGTTTATTCCAACGGATCCTAACGGCTTCTCTAGCTGTGCTAACGGATACAGAGTTTTTGCTAACAGTTATGCTGTCCTGTCTAACAGTCTTATGCTAACGGCTAACGGATACATGTTTCTTGCTAACGGTTGCACTCTCCCTTCTAACGGCCCGATGCTAACGTCTAACGGTTGGGCTAACGCCCCTAACGTTTTTAAGAAAACTTTCTAACGGATGACTAACGGATGCTTAACTCTTTTGCCTGTCTAACGGATAAGCGTTAAGGTACGTTTTCCCGTTCACGGTCACATATAATTATGTACAATGCACATTAAACCTGTTTAATCTTTTTTTTGTGAATGTGAATTGTGGACTAATTGTTATTTTTATTTTATTTACTGTTTTAGAGTCATAACCTCTTCCAGTCTCAACTTCGTCATAATCCTGGACGCAGGATATTAAGATCCGTTCCTAGACAGGTACAACTTGTACTGTGGACTAGAATATTTTTTAAATATTGGTAATAGTTCTTTATATCAAGTGTACATTGTAAGAGTATGCACTCTGTTTTTATGTACACGTACATGTATATAGGTACACACAGTTAAATCTTCATACTTCCTTCTCCACTCTGAAATAGGGCCATAAACTTTGTTAATGTATGATCTATTTTATAATAATATATAGTACTTTTTTTACATAATTACACTGTCAGTCACATGAACACGTACATGTATACTCTTGTTTAATTTGCCTGGTGGTGTATTTCATTGTAAAATACGTGTATTTGTTTCTGTTTGCTGACAGCCAGTGCTTTATTTTGTTATTCCAGATTGTTCATGTACTGCAGGCTGATGTGTTATGGAGTATGGGTCATACAGGTACTGAAAGAAAGTTTAGTTTCACTTACATGTAATTGGCTGTTTCTTTTTTTAATTTTGTTATTAGTTATCAATATTTAACACAGATAATTTAACTGTTAATAGGGTTCCTTGTAGGTTACAGTTTGATCTTTTACAGTAAAGACAGTGTGCCTTCACATCACAAACAATCAAACAGAACATAATTTTTCTGTTACTTCTTTTGGAGGTGATGGGGTGAAGGTGGCCATTTTTGACACTGGATTACCAAAGAATCATCCTCATTTTAGAAAGGTTATGGACCGAACCAACTGGACAGAGGAAAAGACACTGGATGATGGTAAGCAATTTTTTTTATCATTTCTTTAATACATGTATGTACAAGAAGTGATTATAATTTTATCAATTTCACGTGGTTTTCTGTGTTCGTGGACTAGAAGACAAAATCCACCCAAGGTATGTACATGCAGTACTGTATGCATACAGTAGACCTCAGCAGACTACAACACTTGGAGAATGATTCATCACAAAGTTTAGTTGGAATGCGTAGGTTCATGTATACATTAGTCATGAAAGTTACCTATGAAGTGTTCTTTTACTTGAGATGTTTTGTCCAAGATCTCATTGACATGGCTCTGTAAGGTGATTAGTATTCAGCCATTGTTTGGATGCTTAGCTGCCAGAAAACAGATGCTTACAAACAGTGTTTGGTAAAAGGAGTTAGGTACATATTGGATGTCTGAGGTAAATGTACAAAAAATCAGTACATGTATACATATGTTTTAAATGCACCTTACAGGATGAGGCTATTTACGTTTACTGTAGGTCTTGGCCATGGTACCTTTGTTGCTGGTGTTGTTGCTAGTTCACGTGAGTGCCTGGGTTTTGCTCCTGATGCAGAACTTCATATCTTCAGAGTGTTTACTAACAGCCAGGTATGGAGATATGAATGCAGAGTTCTACTTACTCATACTTTTAAGGCAAGTTTGATTTTAAAAACCTTCTGAGACTAGCAGATGCTTTCACTGTTGTCAGCTATCCCTGGAACTCAGTCATGAGTCATCTTGCATGTACAGTGTATCCAGGCCCCTTTCATATCGTTGCTGACTACAAAAGTCAGTAGAAGAGAGATTAGAGGGAGAGAGAGCAAAGGATGTGGGCATACAAGACAATATATTATGTAGTAGTGTTTTTTCTTTTTAAGTTTCTGATTTATATTCCTGTTAAAGAGGTATCCATATTTTTAATACACGCACTTGTACTTGGGTTCATTTGAAGACTGGTAACTCTTACAGCCGTCGGTTGATATTACAGACCTGTACATTAATTTAAAGTTTTCCTTCAAATTTTTATGGCTGGAACACAATGCAAATGATAAAGGGTTTTCTTTTCTTTACAGGTGTCATACACATCTTGGTTTCTTGATGCTTTTAACTATGCTATCCTGAAAAAAGTCAACGTTCTGAATTTGAGCATTGGTGGTCCTGATTTTATGGATCAGCCCTTTGTTGACAAGGTAAGTGTATGTGACTGTGCACCCTTGCAGAAAAAGCTTATTAATATATAGTTGGAAATTCAAGCTTTTTAAATTTTCAATGTTACTTGGTTGATTAATTGTTTCCCTTTCTACAAGTTAATTTTCAAAGTTTCAATCACCAAAAGATGTTGCACAATTGTTTCTGTGGACTTACATGTACTGACTATATTAAAGTGCTACTGAAAGGAAATTTTTGTATGTGAGATTTTTGTGTAGTAATAAAGTTTCCACCTTACTTGGAAACACTGCAGACTTTTTTTCGCATACGGTAAGCGAAAACTGCTTTTTCAGCCGTTTGAAGTTGGCTTGTTAAACCCAAAATTGGTGGCCATCTTGGCGTGACCAAAACAGTCTAGTGATGTCATTGGTTGTATTACTCTCATGCTGCGCTGAAAATTTAGAGTGATTATGGGAGAAGAAAATACTGTTCGAAGCCCCCCAAAAAACATCTTAAGGACATCTCAGAGGTGTAAAGCAGATAATAACAGTAGCCTTAGACATGAAGAGGTGGAGAGTCGGTCCTGGGGCTTTTCAGTCTATTTAATTGGATATTTGCAGGATATTTTATGTAAGCAAGCAAAGGAGTGCGAGTTCTTAAATTGCAAAATGATCGNCTTCTTGCGTGAATACAACCAGTGACATCACAAGGTCCTTAAACTTGGTTCCAGAGCCCGGACACAGTTTTGCTCCAAAAAGTCAATTTCGGCAGCTGAAAAAGCTCTTTGCATTAGAATTTGAGATAAATTTGGGTTAATAAAAGAGAGTATGAAAATTTTGTTTCAGAAGCACTTTAATAATTGATTTTATTGCTTTTTTTAAGGTCTGGGAACTCACTGCAAATGGCGTAGTAATGGTATCAGCAATTGGTAACGATGGACCACTGTATGGGTAAGGAATAAGAGTTAAAACTAGTTACATGTACCCAAAGCATGATCATATAGAGTGCATTTTTACTCATGTGGCCAGCAGCCATGCAAACTTATTGGAAGAAAAGAAAGTGTTTACATAAGAAAAGAGTTCAACTACTTCATGACTGGTTTGGTACACCAACATGGTTGCCGTTTCATTGTTTTGGAACACCAATATGGCTGCTGAGACCTCATGTGAAAATGTTCTGTCATACTGCTACACACTTGTATCTTGTAAACTGCATCATTAAATGTACACAGTACATGATGATATTCTACTAAATACTTTTACAATGTACCACAAAATGTACTCTGACTAGTAAAAAACGTATACTTGTACTAAAAGTTTGCCTTGCTCTCTGAACCGTAGAACATTAAACAATCCCGCTGATCAGATGGATGTTATTGGTGTTGGTGGTATCAACTTTGAAGATCACATTGCAAGATTTTCCTCCAGAGGAATGACCACATGGGTAAGGCTGAGTCAAATTTCAACACAGGCAATGCAACCACGGTTGTAGCATGAGTATGTTTGTTTACATCATATGCCATGGACAGAAAATACAGCCAATGGAGGCAGCGTGGCCGACTGGTTTAGTTCAAGGCCTCCACCCTGCCACTAGCGGGATTTGTTTCTCGGTAGTCTCAAGTTCAAATCCTCGGCCACGCTTTGTAAATAGCCAACTGGTCTACCTCCTGCCGGTTGGGATTTTTGACTATGTTATGTTTATTTGAAATAACTGTTTCCTTTGTTTCAGTGGCATGCCTGTAAACTAGCTAAGCTTAGTGCTTGTATAGCTAAGTGCATGACCACCATAAATAAGATTTACATTTACAATCAGAATACAGGAAAGTCATTGGAACAGGGATGGTGCAGTGGTGAGAGCACTTGCCTCCCATCAATGTGGCCTGAGTTCAATTCCAGCCCGGTGCTGTACATGTACATGTATGTGGGTTGAGTTTGTTGTTGGTTCTCACCTTGCTCCAAGGGTTTTTCTCCAAACCAACATCTCCAAATTCCAATTGGACCAGGATAGAGGACCGGCATGGAAACCAGCTAAGGCTGATGTACGGTCGTGGCTTCCTCTCTAAATATTGTTATAATTAAAATATTGTATACTCATCTTTATCAGCTGAGATGGTGACCTGGTTATGCCTTTTTGTCACCTAAGAAAGGCCAACAATAAGTAGTTAAAAAATGTTGTGATATATGTATGTACATGTACAGTTGTACTTAATAATTATTATAATATTGTACTTTCATTTTACCACCAAGAACAATAATGTGCCATTTTTGCAATTCACCCCCTCTCTCACAGAACCTTTCACATTCTAAAATGAGCAATTCTAAAAGTATGGTGCAAATTAGTATCTAAGAATTGACATTTTCTGTTCTTGTTCATCAGGAATTACCAGGTGGATATGGACGAGTCAAACCAGATGTTGTGACCTACGGTTCTGGAGTGCGAGGTTCTAGTCTCAAGTATGTGCTCTTCTGTTGAGTGGTTCTTCTTGCTTTAGATGAAAATGTTTGCTCAGGACCCTAACTGTAGCTGCCATTTGTGTCAACAGAAATGTATTCTCTGTTTTTGTACTTTTGTCAGAGGTGGATGTCGCTCATTATCTGGCACTAGTGTTGCCTCACCTGTGGTGGCAGGTGCAGTTTCTCTCTTACTCAGGTAAATCTTTTAATCTTTTGTTTAATCAATTGTTGTTGTTATTTCCTTTTAGTACATGTAGGTGGACTCAGAAAAATCATGTATACATGTATGTACATGTACATGTAGATTACAAAAGGTGAAGTCTGTACGAGCCAACTGGCCCATCAGGCTGGAGCTTATCCCAGTTTCTGTAGCATGAAGCAGCTAACAATATTTCTACTCCCCCCTTGATGAAATGCTAGTCCATTGCATGGTTACCCCCAGCATTAAATTTGCAGATACCCATTTGTACACCTGGATGGAGTAAGGCACTGTGAGAATAAAGTGTCTTGCCCAAGAACACAACACAAAGTCCCCAGCCAGGGCTCGAACCTGGACCGCTTGATCCAGAGTCGAGCACACCAACCGTGAGGCCACTGCGCCTCTACATTACACATACATGTATGAGCATGTAGCACGTAGCCTAAATTGCAGGATGACAAGTCTTACATTCTATTTGTAATAAATACCATTTGGGCATACTGTTCACAGTATTGAGCCCAGTATTCTGATCATTCTCTTAATTTGTATGCTCAGAGTCTTGGATATTTTTGCAATGCAGTGAATGATGTATTGTTATTAATTTCTTAATTAGTACAGTATTTTGAAGAAGTGTTCTGATACTGTAGTTTAAAATATTGAATGGATTAACTTTTCTTTTTTCTTACTAGTGCTGTTCAGCACCGTGGAAACAGTGTAAATCCTGCCAGTGTCAAACAGGCCCTCATGGCATCAGCTCGACGTCTTCCAGGATTCAACATTTTTGAACAAGGTACAACCAGATATACATGCATGCATGTGCATGAACCTGTATACATATTATGGACAAATTGTTTAAAAAATGATTATATGAGTCAATTTTCTATGCATGTATAAATGTTCAACATGTGTTACTACTATTACTAATCAGAGTGAGGCAGTAACTGTTCTTTTTATTTTGATTAGGTCATGGCAAGCTTGATCTCATCAAAGCTTATCAAATACTGAGTAACTACAAGCCTCAGGCCAGGTATAGTGTATGTTTTTTTAAGGACTCTATCATTGTGAACTCTGAGTCCTTCCTTAGAAACCTGTAAGTTAATTAATATGTTAATAAGCCAATTTTATGTTCGTTGCCCCAAAGATTGGTCAAATACATGTGCAATGTAGAGTTCACTTTTCCAACTGACAATAATTAATGCTTATTATTTTTGTCTCTGGCAGTTTGAGTCCTGCTTACATAGACTTGACAGAGTGTCCTTACATGTGGCCATACTGCACACAGCCATTGTACTACAGCGGAATGCCGACCATTGTAAATGTAAGTAATAATTACATTTGTGAACATGATATAAAATAATTAAAATTAAATAATTGAATAATTCATACAGCTCGAATATAGACCTTTTCTTTTGATATTTAAAAGAGAAAGTCTTCCTGTATGATTGTTATCAAAACAGCAATTTTTTGTTTGGTTCGGCTGAATATTGGCCGAGAAATTAGCAGTTGTGTGCAACGTGCCCATACATGCTCTGTAATAGCGTTTCCATATGTGATACATCCTCTGGAATTAAGCAAATCATTCCAACTGACTTTAATACTTCTGTCTACTTTTCCTTCCTCGTCAGATCACTATTTTAAATGGAATGGGTGTAACTGGACAAATCGAAGGAAAGGTAAATATCATTTGTTCTATTAACCTGTTCTTGTTTTTTTCCCAATATTTCCCTGTTCATCATGTACATGTATGCAACCTTCCTGTCTAGTCTCTGTTCATGCTAAGTTTGCCTCATTAAATCAGCAATCTGACATTTTCGTTCGTTTTTTGTAATTTTCCTTTTGGTGACCATTTATCTTACTGTTATGTCCAACTAGCAGATTTGCACGTTGTCGTCATTTGACTACAACTACCAGAATTCCTTTCGGTTTTTCTTTGTTATTTAAATTTTGAATTCCTAGTGGGGTTGAAAAAGTGAAAAAGTGAGGGAAAAGTGAGGGATTCTGGTAGTTGTGCAAATCGCCTATTGAAAAGAAAGCACTTTAAAGGATTATCACGTTACAGTACCAGTATACACGTACCATAATTTTGAAGTACACACCAGTCTATTGGTGTGGTTTCTTTTTTAAAACCTTATTTTCGAAAACCACCTTTGGAGAGAAAGATACGTCATAAAATTAGAGACAGGTCTATACTAGGTGCAACGATTGTTATTTGAGTAATTTGACAATGTATATAATTGTAGTTTATATAATAAGTCAAATTATTGTCGCATTTTGATTGGTTGTTAATTAATTAATTGGATGACAGACGTATAGACGACGTCATTAACAATATATTTATTTCTTTTCTATGCTAAACAAGTAGATTCCATGTTGCTGTGCGTCTGTTCAGTAACTGATCACAGAGGACGTCAAAATGTGGTAAAAACATCAGTGACTCACTTGGCTATCGCCTGGTGTGCCACTTTTTTGTTCTTACCACATTTTGACATTATCTATGATCAATTACTGAACAGATACACATTAACATGAGATCGTGAGATCATGCATAACCTGTCTGGTAAACTTCATGTATATGTCTAACATCTGATGATAGTTATATACATATATAAGACTTTATCATTGTAACTTTCCAACACAGCCAACATGGCACCCATATCTGCCCCAGAATGGAGACTATATCCAGGTAAGGTCTTCAGATGCGATATGTGTAATTATTGTTTAGGTGATAAGTGCCAATATCTTAGAGCATTTGAAACAATCAAAGCCATGGCTTAAAATGTGGAAAATGTATGTAAATAAATAATTTTATCAGTTGTGAATATTAGTTATCAGAATATCAGTTTCTCAAGGACGTGTACATGTCATCTAAATTAAACAAATGTTAGTTTACGTTTTTACTTGTGAATGGGGTTAGCGTGTGACGCTTTCCAAGACCTCAGGCTCTATTTTTTCCTATATCTCATTCACTGTTGTTCATTGTCTTAATCAGTCATCGTTGCAGCTCATCCTACTTCTAGTCATGGCCAAATAGGCAGAATTCATTGCCTTATTTTGCATTGTTTGGCTGCATAGAGTAATGTTCAGTGTGTCGCTATCTTGGCTTGTTTTTTGATAATGTTCCGAGACGAAGCACACGAACATGTCAAGTGTGATTCAGATTTAAGCTTAATTACATTTATACAACTGTACAACTTTATAACATCATTAAAATCATACGCGTGCTTGTATTTAACCCATTGCAGGGACATTTTTAACGATATTTCGCTTTAATATAAATGAACGGAACTTTTGAGAGTTACATGTACACCTTATTGAACTGGAAGAGAGACAACAACATTCAATACTAATTATCTGTAAAAGTGCTCGAGCACTTGTACTGACATCTACATTTATATGCGTGACGTTGTGTGACTATGATAAAAGAGAATTACCGTCTTTCAGGTTGGCTTTTCGTATTCATCTGTTCTGTGGCCTTGGTCTGGCTATCTGGCTGTTGTCATCACTCCCGCAAAGAAGGCAGAATCATGGGAAGGCATAGCGCAAGGTCACGTGTCACTGACTGTCGTGTCCCCACCACAGGTACGTTACATACATACATACATACATACTTTATTTGGTCTCGCAGGTTAAAAGATCTAGTAGCCAACGGCTGCCAGATCTTATCACGTGTGTGGCCATCTTGCTTTTCTTTGTATGATCGCTGAATATAGTATTTCGTTTGCTTTTCTTTTGTCTGTTGTTGTTGTTTTGTGTCTCCACCACAGATGCGTTAATTGTTATCACATGTGTGGCCTTGTTGCTTTTCTCTGTATAGCCGCTGAGTAGTATTGCTGTTGCTTTTCTTTTGTCTAATGTTGTTGTGCTTTTTTCATGTCAGGAATTTGACATAGACCCAAGACGATCCACCATCAAACTGCCAGTTCGTGTCAAAGTGATTCCTACTCCACCCAGGAGGTTGGTAAATTCTTAAACAAGTGAAAACTTTGCAAACAAAATCTATGCAGATACTCTTTCAAAATATAGACAGAAAACCACCTGCCTGTGTGCACCTGTATCTCTCTTTTTATATATATAATTTGTCTGTTAAGTTTAAAAGTTGTTTCACGTGCCGTATTCATATTTTACGGCCCCTTAACGTAAACCGTGCTAACTTTAAATGAAGATACTCCATCCTTAAACTACTGACTCCGCAAAGTACACCTATATCTTAATTTGTGTGACTTCCATTCAGTTTGTATTGGCACAAAAAAAAACCCTCATCGCGGTTGTAATACGTGATAGCTACTACTCACGTACTGTTTTCTTGTGTGTTTATCTTCAGTAAACGTTTGCTGTGGGACCAGTATCACAACCTTCGCTATCCCTCCGGATATTTTCCTCGAGACAACTTGAAAATGAGGAACGATCCTTTAGATTGGTAAGTGTTGTCATGTAGCTTGGCGAGGAATCGGGAGAGAGGCTGGGCCGGAGAGGTGAAAGGGAGGGTTGCTAAATATAGATTAACGTATGTTGATTACTTTTGCGAATTTTTTGGTTGATAATTAAAAGCCTTGAATACGGCGACTGCGCCCGCAGTAGGACCGGCAGTCAAAACCGAGCTGTCCTGCCGAAACGACACGTTAATAGTATTTTTCTTTGCAGCTAACAACACGAAAAGACTATGCTTAAGTTGTCTTGGCCTCTTCTAATACTCGAGAATTCTGAATTCTGGATCAATAAAGTGGTACGAGAATCAACAAACGACAAACAAAATTTTTAGCCAAGAGCGTTTCAAGAACTGCTACATCGGTATCATCTCCCCCATTTTACGAGCTTTAGTTGTGTTAGATGTTATAGAGGTGCAAGCTAAACGCATCTTAAATACGTTGTGGTGTAATTGTTTTCAGGAACGGTGATCACATTCACACCAACTTCAAGGATATGTACATGCACCTCAGGAATGCTGGGTATTTTGTGGAAGTTCTAGGCGCTCCTTTTACGTGTTTTGATGCTTCACAGTACAGTAAGTCTGTCCTCTTCTCCTCGCTAATTTAAGCTGGAGTGTTCCTAATTCAGTGGAAGTTGACGTAACTTTTGAATATTTTTGGATCGTGGCTAGTCTGATGTAGCGTTTCTTTCCAGTTAAATAGGACCTTTGCTTTTTTAAGATTGTGTAGTTCCAGAAAATATTCATACCTCTCCCACGGAAGGGATTTTTTCTAACACCTCCCCACCCCTCTGGAAATTCCAGTTAAGCTTCATACATTTCTTTAAATTTTTTGGTCTCATAGAACCCCCCATCCCCCAGGAAATTCCAGTCCCTTCTGTAGGGGGAGTGTGGATATTTTCTGGAACCGCACATCGTAAGTAAATGTTCGCAGATAGATTTATGAAATGACGTGGAAATATTTTTGTACTTCTTTCAGGTACCCTGCTTCTTGTTGACAGCGAAGAAGAGTACTTTGCCGAGGAAGTGACGAAGCTGAGGGAAGACGTGGAAGAGAAAGGCCTGTCAGTGATTGTGGTGGGCGACTGGTTTAATGTACCAGTCATGAGAAAGATCAAGTTTTACGATGAGAACACGAGGCAGTGGTGGATGCCGGACACTGGAGGCGTTAATGTGCCAGCTATCAATTCCTTACTCTCGCACTGGGACATGGCTTTCAGTGATCAAGTGTATGAGGGGGAGTTCACCATTGGAGACAATAAAGGTAATAGCGCCTGCTGCATTGGCCCTGTTGTTTGTTGCGTGACTCTGCGTGATCCTGAGTAATAAGTGTTGGCATCACGTAACACTCGTGGAAACCTTAGGTCGAATAATGAGGCTGTGACTTTAAAGTTTGTGACTAATACCCTTTACTTGTGATCTTTGAAATAAAAGCTATTAGTATTTTCATTTGTTACTACGCATTATTTTGTTATAATGTATTGTTCAAGGTGGTTCTAGCTTTTTACGCCAGTGGATGACACCTATTGTGAGACCATTGAAATGAAAGCTATTGAGCAGTACTTTCATGTGGTACTGTTTACTCTGCTGTGCAAAGTGGTTCTAGCTTTTGTGTTTGTGTATAAAACCTAGTGTGTGACCATTCAAATGAACGTTATTGAGCAATACTTTGATTTGATACTGTTTGTCATGCTTCACTAGGTGGGTGTAGCTTGAAAACCTACCATGGGCAATGTGACTATTCAAATGACCGCTCTGTAGCAGTACTTTCATGTGCAGTAGTACCGTATATTACCCATATTTTGGAAATAAAATTTCGAATTTTTGCATGTGAAAACCTTTGCACATGTGAATATAGTCTACACTTCGACTGTTTATCATCCATTGCTATCTTTTTATTGCAGTCTTGTACTCATCCGGGACAAGCATAGCCTCGTTCCCATCGGACGGTCTGGTTGTAAAACAGAAATTGAATCATCAGGGAAACGAGGTTGTGACGGGGGAGACTAAGATCGAGGAGGATGTGGCAGTGTTGGGACTTTATCAGGTACCAGGTCCGACGAGCGGGAGAATCGTTCTGTATGGTGACTCAAATTGCCTTGACAATGCACACATGGAAAAAGGTACAGACTGTTAACTGATTCAATTTTATTAGGATTTGATTTATTTTTTTCTGGGATGTTATGCGTGTTCACTTCAAACTTTCCTGGGTAATCGTTTTAGCTTTCAAGATGAGTAAGTTCATAACAAAATTAAATTAATATCCTAGCCTATCACTGCAGTGCAAAGTAGTGTTTTAAATGGCCGATAAGAACTCGTGTGAAGCGCGGGTAAACGCGAGTGACGCAGGTGGTGCTGGATTAGGTTTTGCTTCATTACTAGTCACAGAATTATGCGAGATGATTTATGAAGAATCAGCTGCAAAGCTCTTATTGGAGGACAGGTACCGCGCATAGCTCCAAATAGACCATTTTCGTATTCTCGGTATTGGACTGGAACTAGCATGCAATGGAGGTTCATGCGGGGCAATATTGTTCTAAAGATATGACTGTCAATGCATTTGAAAAGACTCCCCGCATTGGCCTCGGTTGCAAGCTAGTTCCAGTCCAAAACCGAGAATACGAAAATGGCTTATTCTCCCGTACCAAATAGCCTCGTAAATGCATTCGTTCTGTTCTATGAAAATCCTCCTCCAATCTTTTGTTAGGTGACAGCCATGGTAATTGCATGTTTTAGTACCAATTGCATTAACTCAACTTTTAAGCTTTGGTAATTTTGGGAACCGCTCTTCGCCTGAAACTGTTGTAGTATCAATTCATCTTTGTGATGGAGCATTTGAAATGCGAAGGTAAAAGATGTTCTATTTTGTGACATGGGCACTTAATCAGACAACGTTTTTTCTTTCTCCCGCCTCCCCCCTTCCCCACTATTTTAGATATATATCGTTATATATCCAGTATATTCCCAATAAAGCTTATTTAATTTTCCATCTTAATACACAGACTGTTTCTGGCTGTTGGACTTGTTACTGGACTTCACATCAAACCATGTCATGTCTCCGGTGCTGAAGGATCTGAGCAGCGGACCTCCTAAACCTGCTGAATCAGTCCCTGAAAGAATGGATGGTGCGTTTGTTGGCATTGATACGAAAACAACAAAACTAATTGGCGCTTTTCAAGCTGGCACGAACACCATGCAATCAAGATGGTATAGGGGATTAAGTTACATAAAGATGGGTTCTCTCGTTGAAAGGTGTCCCCTAGTTGAAATAGACTCAACACACTGACATTTAAGGAAACCGTTTTAAAATCAAACCAAGAGAACCAAAACCAACTCGCACTTGGCGATTGAGCTGACAAGAAATTTATTCTGTACAGAAACGTCTGAATATTTAAGAGTTTTCTCTGGTACTTTTTAGGAAATCACCTTCACAAATACTCAAAAGTCTTGGACCCCACCCAACTTGGAGCCATTGAGACGGTTCCTTTACCAGAGTGTCCCGCGCAGGCGTGGAGCAAACCAGACCCCCTCAACATTACGGCCCCGGAGAACCTCCACAAGCAAAGATGGCTCTTATCAGTCAATCTAGATCAGGTAGGCGATCTCTACTCATTTGCACTGTATTCCACCGTGCAGCCTGGTGTGTTGATGTTCAAAGCCTAATTATGTTACGTTAGAATTCTTGGTCATTTTCTAAGTAATGCCGCACCCACGTACATGTAAAGTCGCCGAAAGCAACGATTAAATTTGATTACGTTTTCTAAATCCTGAAAGAAGTGCTCCTTGAAAATTAAGGGTACTTTCCATTATACCAGAACGACCGGTAAGGGACCAGTGGGAATACCCGAGGAAAATGGAACGACATTTTCCGATCACACCGGGCAAACAGAGAGGAATGGCTCTTACCATTTTTTATTCCTTTCCCGAATTTCCTGCATAATTGAAACCCTCTGAAGAGAAGCAGGGCAATGAACAGGTTTGTCAAAATGGAACGACAAATTTTGGTCCGACCAGTCAAAGTGGACTACCTCCACAATATTCTGGTCCCGAATATTCCGGTCGGAACGAACCGAAAGGGACCTTTCCACTGGATTTGACTTCCGTTCGAAATTTCCGGAAATTTGGCATAATAGAAAGCACCCTGAGTATCCATTACCGGTCGTCATCACCGCAAGCTTGACCTTCATTTAGAATGCAAACTAGCATCGTTAGCAAACTCTTACAAGAAAGAAACTATTCTTCGACTTAGTTTAGTAACAGATCGATATAATGGCCCTCCCCCGAAAGTAACGTAACCATCACCCGTCACGATCAGCCTGACCTTCCCAACTATATTATAAGAACTGTGCGTGTCATTGAATATGTAAACCCCATTTTTAATGCATACATGTGTTTTCTCTTGCTTAGCTACCCGTCATCGTACCACGTCACGTGCAGCGAGTAGCTCCATACCCGGATGTGGCGGATTCGGACCCGGATGAACTTCCTGCTGTGCACATGAGTGTAATGTCCACCCTACCCCTGTACGTGGTGCTATTCTCGGCACTGATAGTGTTTTACTGCGCTGTT